ATGTCTATATAGTATAATATGTCTGTACTTTTTATTCATTTTATTTTTAGTAATTTTGTGTCATTTATTCAATTTTTTAAAGTCTACAGTTTTAATTAATTTTATTTCAATTATTTTAGTACATCAATTTAAGCTAAATAAAAATGAGACAAAATACTTTAAAAATGTAACTAAAGTTTTTTTATGGTTTTAGTTAACTATAATAGTTCTGGTGTGTAAATGTGCATATAGTAAATATTAAGGAAAATATGATTAAATATCACTGATCATATAGTAAAAACAGTGTAAACATAACATCATTTTGAATCTATATACTTACTGTTTTACTTCTTGTATAAAACATTTTTGAATTTACAATGGAAAAAAAAATAAATAAAATAAAATAATTCTTATATTTATATATAGATGAAATTCTTTTAGTTTTATCACCCAATCCATTTTAGGACACGCTGATGAATTGTGCTGTCAGTACCTCTGCCTCTGAATCTTTCAGTTTCTGGATCTTCTCCTTGACTTTCATCTCAAACACCTGCTCCATCTCCATCTCCATCTTCTTCATTTTGGTCACATGCTCCCTTCTCTCCTCCTCCATCTGGGCGAGAGGACTCCTAGTATTGACACATGCAATTAACAATCATGAGAGCACATCCCACAGTTTCCTCTAGAGCAATGCATCCCTGTGCATCTTCACAAGACAAGAAGAGATGGAAAGGTGGACCAACAAAGCCCTCATTGCCCACTCCTTATCACAAAGATGAGGTCAATGTGACACCCGTGACCAATCGCTCCCACTTAACACCTCTGGCAACTAAACGCTCATGGCTTACAATGGCCAGTCTTGCCAAGGCATAGAAAAGGAGGAAGAACATCGAACAAACACACTGGTTCCAGAGGAACCTGAAAGCAGTTAATGGCCAAAGCGATTATGCTGATCAGAGTTAGTGAGCAGCGCAGGAAAGCTGCGAAGAGGTACGGCAGGAACATATGCGAAGGCAGAAACAATGGTGGGAATCGTTAGATGCCTCACGATATGATTTTTATTCAAACAATTAAAAATGATTAATTCAAGATTCATCTCATTCAGGGTTATTATCGTTAACTAAAAAATGTTAACTAAAACACTATAAAAATCATTACTCGAAACGAAAACAAAAAAATGGAAAATATGAAAATAGACTAATATAAACTAATATTAAATCAAATAAATACTATTTAAATATATAAAATATATAAAAAACTACAATAGTATATAAATTAGGGCTGTCACTAACAATTACTTTGGCAGTCAAATAATCGGTCGATTATTCTGACGATTAATCGAGTAATCGGATAATTTTTTTTTGTGGTAATAAAAATAGACCTAAGCGAACAATAGACTTTAAAAGGACTTAAAATACATATATAATAGCAATGAGCCAATAAGGTTTGAGGCATATGGTTTTATAGAACAATAGAGTTAAAATACATAACATAATAAAACAATATAATCATAATTTATGTACATTATGTATTTTATCAAATGCCTGCATAGGGCACCAAAGGCCTGACGATTGTTTTTACACTTTACAGCGTGATCTAATCCTTGTTTAATATTGACCACTTAATCTTTAATATTTGGCCACTTCTTTATGATGGAAATGCTAGAGCCACGGTCATTTCTTGAACAAGAACATGTGGACATCAAAACATGCAAACTCAGAGTGAGGGTTTAAACTTTTATTTTGAAATCGCAATAAACAGTTAGCATATTTAGAAAGATAATGATGTATTCTCCTGTGTTGGTGTAAGTTTATAAATTATTTACCTTATTAATCTGGTAGAATGGTTCACAATATTCCCAGATGAACATTATAAGCAACTCAGACCCACAGCATACGTAAAGACGGAGTCTGAGACGGTCTGACTGCGCATGTAAATGATAAATGTAAAATGTTTGTGTGGAGTAGCATTTACTGTGAACGGAGCCGCTCTGAGATGCACGTAATCTATATTTTTCCCATAAGAGCGGGCGCGGCCATCTGTAAATTTAATGGGTCTAATTTCCGGTGTCATTCGCTTCCAGCTATTTTTAGCTATACAAAACAGCTCGTTTTGCTGCTTGATATTGCAAACTGGTGTGTCTTACCATATTATTTTAATGTATTATCTTAATTATGAACACGCTAGTTAGTAGTGCAAACAGTTTTACCGTTTAGTGCACTTTGTTATTCTTCTCATTATTTCCCTACAGCTGCTCTCACACATTCACAGAAAATGGCCTACATCCGCATTGAAGAATAAGGTGGATAACTGAGTACTCAAATTTAATCGAGAAATCATGACAGCCGTAATATAAATGATACTAAAGTAACACTAATCTCAATTTTTGCCACTATTGTCACTATTTGGTATAGTATTCATATGAATTGAATGCAACCATGTTTGTGAATCAAAGTCTGAGGAAGAACTGCAATACTTCTGTGAATAATTTTTTTTCTCCCTCTCAAAGACAAACAGGAGGAACTACTTCTGGACCATATTTCATATATCAGGAAGGGTTTAGTTTCCCCTAATCTAACCAGTACAACTGGGTTGATGTCACAAGGTCTATTACTCCCCGGAAAAATCACACATGGAACTGTTGGAAAAAGAGGGCGATAACAGACACCGAAAGACACTGTTCCCAGAGGAAGAGAGGGTCTGTACAACACAGGGATTTGGAAAAATGTAAATGACCACTTACATGCCTTCAACCGTGTCAACTCTAAAAGACAAAAACACACACACTTAGCATGCTACAAATCATACTGTGCACTGAAGAGCAAAATAACGTGTCAACAGAAAGCAGATGAGAGGAAAGACTAGTCTGGATTATAACTTATAATGTAGTTTTCTGCAAAAAAACAAACAAACAAACCAAAAAAAAAACTGTATTTTAGGTTAGAGGTGACTGTCGACTACTTGGAACCTGCATGGCGTGACCTCAAACTTGTCTGCAAGCGCGTGCACATGCATATGTGTTAAGAATCTGGCTTCTTAAATTAAGGGTTAGCGAGCACAGCAAACTGTGAAGGGATATCTTAATATAAACCTCCTCAAACGTAACTTCACCAAGAGAAATGTACTGACAGAAAATATATTTAAGCAATCCGATTAAGTCAACATGAAATAGAAACTGACCCCATTTACTTATTTAAACCCCTTCCTGTTTTTCATTATATGTTAGATTACATAGTATACATTATATTATATTACATTGTTATATTATATTACATTACATTACATTATATTATATTATACAACCCTTCCCCTACAACCACCTGATTCCATTCTGTAACAGCCACTTCTCATGATTCAACCAGTTCCTAATGGATAAAATAAAGTACTGCCGTACATTTTCCCCCATTGTATATCCAGTTTGACTTGCAAACAGCATTTTATGTTGACTTTAAAAACAGAAGTAGGCCAGCCACAAATGCAAGTATGGTGGTTTACAGTGTGCACTCCAATACACCAGACAACAGGAAATGATGCAACATAAAATGTCACAATGCTGTTTGACAATTAAGCATCACTTATATTGATCCAAAACCTTCTTTAAAAATGCTATATATATATATATATATATTAGACTTGTGCCGGTTTTCGGTAATGCGATATATCACGGTGATGAATATGCACGATATTGTTATCGTGGGCTCTTCTATATATATATATATATATATATATTCCTAACAAATGTTCAGCATTAAAGTTAATAGGTTAAAGTTAATTTCAGAGTAGGTGTAGGTTTGTTTGTGATTTCAGATGTATTAAATTATTCAAAAGTATAAATGCTAATATGACAATACTAATAATCAGACAGCTGTTCAAATTCATATACGAAACACTAAAGATGTGGAGTAACGTAAAGTGCCAGGAAAACACACTGTTGCTCGAGTGTTATAATTTACATTCACACATTGTGACGCAATGAGGTCAGAGTGGAGCATGTTTTAAGTGTCTGAGATGAGGCAGTATGTGAATGTAACCCTGCATATAACGGATGCCATCTGCTGTCTTACGTTATTCCAGGCATTTCCGATTACACTGATAGTACATAAACATCTTGAATCTCAGGACAAACCATGCAGGCAAAGGCCTTTGTCATTTGTTCTTGGATTAAGTAGACTGAATTGTTTAATATCAGTGATATGTTACTAAACGTAACTTACTTGGTGAGCTGGCCTTTGGTTTTGTTGTTGTCGATTCCATTACAGGTAACAGCCGCAAGCTTCCTGCTTCTGTAGTTCTCATAATGGACGTTATTTGTGACATCCTTGAGGTCCTGCATGTGGGTTCTGACACAAAACAAGTACATTTTTATACACTGGCTCCACAAAGCCATGCTTAAAGTATGAGTGCCAATACATTAGATATATAAAATATGAAACCAAGTGGCATTTATGTTGACGAAAAATAGCAAAAGCACAGTTTTTAAGCAATGCATTTGACAAAAGCTGCTCTTGTGGTCAAATTGCTAAAGCGGAGTCTCGTTCACTCTCCAAAAGCTATTGCTGTTGTGTTTCCACAGTTAATTCCCACAAGACTTCAGCCAAACGCAAACTCAATGCATTTTGATTTGCGGTGGCTATGTTTGTACCTGATAAGCATATTCCTTAAGAGTGTGAAATCACAGTGGTCTCCATTCTCAACTGTGGAGAAAGAAAAGATTATTAGGTTTTAAACACAACAAGCTATACTTCAAATGCCATTTATAATTGTTAACTGCTGGATAAAGACTTTATACAAATTCCATGACCGTGGGAACAAAGTTTCAGTATATATTCACAAATTAACTGATCCTGCACAAACCCATTTATAGTTATTTATTTTTTAATGTTAGCTGCTCAACCAAAATTATCACAGGTTTGAAATGAAAACTGCAGCTCTAAAAATTATAAATGCATTTCATTGTCAAAGGCTTTTCAAGTGCATCTACCTTCTGCCACTCCCCATGGGTACTGCCTTCCTCTAACCTTCTTGTCATTCACCTCAATGATAGTGTTGCTTCCGACCACAGCCAGGGGCAACTGATCCTTGAGAGAGAGAGAGAGCGAGAGAGAGAGAAAAGAGAGAGAGAGAGACACACATAGGCATACACATATCTATCCCTTAGGAATCTCTCTCACACACACAGAGGGAGTGTGGTATGCGGCTCACACACTCACCTAAACCCCTGTAATGAGATTTCTAATGTGGCCGGATCCCTCTTTCATTTGGCAGAGGGAAGGAGAAAAGGGAAGGATTAAAGCTGCATAGAGAGAGAGAGAGAGAGAGAGAGAGAGAGAGAGAGAGAAAAGAGAGAGAGAGAGAAAAGAGAGAGAAAAGAGAAAAGAGAGAGCGAGAGAGAGAAAAATTTAAATTAAATTGAGGGAGAGAGAGAGAGGGGCTCATGGATGGCTGTGTACAAGGAATCTGTCTGCTAAAGCAACATGCAAAGCTTGGCAGACTTTCAATGTGCAGCCACCTGGTGAACCACATGTACTGTCCCACCTCCACACAGATCTAGAACTTTATCACTATATTACACTTCATGCTCCTACATGAACAGCACAGGGACAGATCATAGAAAACAGGATATTTTTTCCTTTTCCTTTTGAAATACAAAGTACAACACAAAGATGGTTCCCCAGAACATTTAATGAAAGCCCTGAGAAATAACTTGTTTACATTTTTTTTTCATATTTATATCACATCACTACCATGAACACAAACAAATATGAATGTTTTTGTTGGGAAAATTATTACAAATGTGGAACTCTTACTTTGATTGTTTTCACAATCTTATTTTCTTCCTCATCATCCGTCTCTGGAAACTCATAGATTTTGATCTTGTGCTCCAGGATTTCTCGCATAATCTAGAGAAACATAAAAACGACTTTAAAAATCACAGAAACTCTCTGCAATTCCTTCGGGCCCAGCACACAACCTTCAGAGGTTCACCAAGAGCGATTGTTTAGGGTTGAGGAACATCCTCTGTTTATTTATTTGTGGATGTGCTCAAATCTTTTCAATTGATCTTTCCTGTCTGGGCGGTAATGCTGCGCTCCTGCTCATGGTTCCTGCAGAGATAATACTCTGACAGATGGCAAAGCACTCAGGACACACATGGTGCCGGAGGCTTGAACTCCTGCTGTCTCTTCTTGCCTTTTTCTTAATCAGGGGTTTAAATGGACAGCACTTAGCACACGAGAGCGGGAGGCTGCAGCAGGCTGACCTGTTTCTTGAACTGTTGGCACTCTTCGGGTGTCAGGGTATCTGCTTTGGCAATCAGTGGGATGATGTTGACCTTCTCATGCAACCGTTTCATAAACTCAATGTCCAAAGGTTTCAGTCTGGTGGAAAAACATACAACACAACACCATGATAACCATCACACAGTTCTCTCAGTCCCTTTCGCTTTTTAATAGTCTTTGCAAATGCATGAATCACCAAAACTATAACTCATTCTTAATATCAGGGCAGGGTCTGAACCTTTGCACAGTTAAAGATCACTCACATTGGCTTTAGAAACGGAATAATGCCATTTTTTAATAGTGCAACTAAATTCAAAACTACAATGATAAGATTATTTGATGATCCACATTTTAAGAGAACACTATTATTTAAAAAAAAAAATCAATAATTAAAAAAACAACAACAACAATAAATCTAATACATTGTTTATTTTAATTCAGAGGAGTTTATTATTATTGTAATTATTTATTGAACATTGGTGACTTTTTGAATATTAATATTTGAAATATTGCCGTTTTGAATATCGTTGTTTTATAAAAGAAAAAAAGTCACTAGTGGTCATGTGTTATACTCTTACAGCTAAAATGGTTTCCGTTTTGAATCATAGGCAACAGCACCCATATTATTTACTTTGTACCATGCTTCAGTTCTGATAATCATCAGGACCGTGGACAAGACTGAATAGAGCGACACATTCCTGCATCTTCACTGCGACTGAGCACAGATCCACTATTGTCTGAGAACAGCTGCTTACAATAACACAGTCATTCTAATGTTTTCACTGACTAAGAGGAAAATTTTGACTTCAGCTCTGGCTTGTCAATGAAATCCATTATCAGACATCTTAGCAGGAAAAAACTGACAAACATAATGTGAAAATGAACTGAAGCATGATATACAAAAAAAGGAAGAAAAAAAAGGTCTAGGTTTGAATACAACCAACCTATTTTATGCACAAAATTATAGTTAGAAGATTTTTTAAATGTTTTTGAAAGAAGTCTCTTACACTCAACAAGATTGCATTTATTTGATAAGAAATAGTAAAAACAGTAATATTGTGAAATATTTTTATAATTTAAAATAACTGCTTTCTATTTGTATATACTTTAAAATGTAATGCAAAGTTGAATTTTCAGCATCGTTACTCACTACTCAATGTCACATGATCCTTCAGAAATCATTCTAATATGCTGATTTGCTGAAACATTTCTCATTATTATATAATGTTGAAAACAGCTGTGCTGCTTCATATTTATGTGGATACTGTGATGTTTTTCAGGATTCTTTTGTGAATAGAATGTCAAAAGTACAGCTTTTATTTGAAATACAATGTTATTTGTAACAATGTAAATGTCTTTACTGACACTTTTGATCAATTTAATGTATAGTGTACCTTTCCTACTGCAAATTGGAGGGTTTAATTCAAACCACAACACAAAAACTGAAACTTGCGTCACTAATGCACAGAATTGCGTCACTAATGCACAGAAGCTACTTTAATTAGTGGCCAACATATGATTGGTAAGTGTTCTCCTTCTATTAAGACATTATAAAGAATAATAATCAGCCGGAAAGCAGAAGGACAGGTCTCCGATCACTCACCCATGTCCTGAGGGTGCAATGAAATACAGGCAGCAGTGCACTCTGCTGTCCGGCATCTGTCGTCTGTTCACACGTGACTCGGAGTTCAGATAATCCTCAAACTTACTGTCGATGTGATCAATGACTGGCTGCCAGCTGGAGCAGAAAACACACGGGACATTCAGGTCATGCTTTCGGTTTAAAGCAACACCACAGTAATGAAAACACAACCACACAGCCATCTAATTATATAAAGCAACCTGATATTGAACCATGCTGTCATAATTATATCTGGCACTCCACCAAACACACTAAAATCGTTCTCACCAGTTGCTGTTGTCCACAGCGTCTCCAAATCCTGGAGTGTCCACTATCGTGAGCAGAAGCTGGACGCCTCCCTCCTTCATCAACACTTTGGACTGCTCCACCTGTGGATAACAGACCGTCTGAATTACTACTAGGGATGTAACGATTCACTCAACTCACGGTTCGATTCACGATTTTGATTTCACGGTTCGATTCGGTTCACGATTATTATAATTTTTTTAACAAAATTAGATTTAAGACAAATGGTAAATTAAATGTGTCCTTTTATTATTGCTTGGACAAAATGCTGCACATTTCTTTGTGAAATTGAAATATAATACTATAATAACATACTAATATAGCACTTGCATATTACTGCTCTTTTGTTGGTTTTGATTGCTTCTATTGTCCTCATTTGTTAG